CAGCAGATATAGTTCTCTCCTGCAACACATTGATTACAACAGTCAACAGATTCCCAATTACTGGCCACACATTTCGTGAATATACGGGTTGACGTAATTGGAAACGTAGAGGCCACCAACATTTCCGAAACGCAATAACAAGCCACAAACACGAAACAGCATCCCTACAGCTCTGTTAGATTTCAACAGGAATCTTCACAAGCACGATTTACACAGACTGGAAATCCAAACTAACAAGTGTCTCAATTGAGCCACAAGCTTCCTCAGACAACTTTGATCAGGAAAAAACCTAATCTACCGAATAACGTCAACCAATTAGTCCGTCAAATTAGACTCCACCATTTTAACCTGCGACTGCGGGGAGTCGCACCAATGAAATCACTTACTTCGGAGACGCAAATGGCATTGCAAGGGACGAAGTTTTGATTCCGGCGCCACGAGAGCTCGTTTTCTGATCGAATCGCCACTCATCCACCTTCTCGCCCCCGGTCCCACGCCCGCCGCGGCGGCGGATCGGCACCATGGAATCGGCGCAGCGGCAGCTCAGCCGCTTGGTTTGGAGGGAGAAATCCCCGTCGAACCACAGGAGCCTCCTCATCCACTTCGTCGTCCGCAATCCATGACCCCCGCCGGCGACGGCGAATCTCCGGGACCGGAAATCAACGAGAGCCACAGTGGAGCTCGCCGCCATTGCTCACAGAGACGTCGCCATGGAACCGAGTATGAAGGAAAGGAGAAAAATGGGGAGACCTTAGAGAAGTAAATTGCAGTGAAATCGATCTAGAGAGAGAGAGGGAGGAATGGAAACGTTCGTCGAGTCGAGAAGAAGAGGAAACCCAGGAGATTATATGCTACCAAATGAAGGACGAAGTTAATTAATTGCTAACAATTTTTTTCACTAATTAATTGCTTACATTTAATTAATCTGATTATGGGTTTGATTAAAATAAGAAACATTTTAAGAGATTTGATTAATTAACAGTGGATGGGAATTTTGGGGACTCGAATGCAAATATATTTGTTTTCTAAAATAAAATATAGAAATATTTTAACGGACTGTTTTTTTTTTCTTTCGATGTTACACATTTCCAAAATCTACAACATTTACTTATTTATTCTTTTTAATCCTAATTAAAAAATACTTTTCTATATTGGATCTACATGATATAAAAAACTCATCTACATATTGAAATTGTTTTCGGTTTACCATTCGTATTTTCTAGTTCGTTTAACTTGTTTTTGAAAAATACCTTATTTATTTGAGTCAATATGTTGTTTCTCCTCATATATTTTTTATCACACACAAAATATTTATGATAAAAATATTTTTTAAAAAATTCTATACCGGTTTACAACAAAAGAGAACGAAGAGAAGCCAATTAAATTCTATATAACTAAATCGACATAATATTGATCAAGAATACAAAGTATTTAATTATAATATGTTTCTGTAAACGGATAGCAAATTAAAATAATTATTTGAAGAATCGTACATTTTCTAAACGATAAAGTAAAATTTTAAATACAAACCCGCCGAATTCTTGATGTCTTGTTAATTTAGTTTTGTTTGTTTGACGGTATTCAAAGTTATAAACAATTCTCACAGGATATTACAGGTTTTAAATTTCCTTTACAACGGTAACTCGAATACCGAAAACAGGTGAACTTTTTATATATATATATATATATAAAAACATAAACATTAAATGTTTTAGAACCTTAGAGAAAATTTTAAATAGTAGAAAATAAAAATTTTAGTATTTTACCAAATGAAGATGTGTGTCTATATTTGTAGTACCATGGTTTACGTTTAAAATGTATCGTTTTAAATTTTGAATTAAATGATTGTGCATTTTCGCTTCAAATTTAAACCAATGTATTCATTGTAAAGGTACATTTACATTAAATGGTCCAAAGATAAAATTTAAATACTATCTTATAGATTAATTTTTTTTTGGTACTACAAATATAGACACATGTTTTAATCTCTAAAGGGGTCCATAATGTTCGTAGTCAATTCTAACTATTCTAGTAGAGAGTAAGTGTCTAATAATATCGCATATATATTGTAATTAGGGGTGTTTAAAATGTCAAGTGGCTCGTTACTTGAACCGAGCCCACCCATAAATTTTACGGGTTTAGACTTAGAAATTTGAAATTCGGTTATCTATCCGGTCGAGCTAGCCCGTCATGAAATTTACGGGCCAAATTGCGAGTTCCTTGTGCTCTATAATAATTATCTATTGATCATTATGCATGGATTAATTTATTTATGACACTTCATTCCTTATATTACATAATTTACATGCTCGCTATTTAATATAGTAATGTGAGAGTTATTGTGAATAATCGTAAACTACCCTAGTCAATCACTATCGTGAGAATTATGATCGAATTAAAACTAGTAAGAGGCGTGACAGATAATCATTCGATGATGATGGTATATTGGATACAAATCACGATCATGGATTATCATTTGGAATGAAATATTGGTTGATCCGTATCAAATCGTTACTTGTAATTTTTCTTCGAGATACCATTCAAAAAAATAGACGATGTTAACATCCAACTAATGTATTTAGAAATTATTGATTGCTATTTTTGTGATCAACATCTTGATAAATATGATTGTAGTAAACACACGAATGAATATCAAATAATCGAGGTATTGATTAAAACTAGATATAAATTACAATATGTAAGATGTGATTGAATTGAGTGATTAGTAATCGTTGAAACAACAAAATTCAATGAAAAAAGATAAAAGGGTATTTCTTTAATTCAAAATATTTGGTCGGAATCACCGCAATAACGGAATGGTCATTTTAAATAATGGTATAACGCCCATTTCACTTATTTTTCTGTCATTAGAGACCCAATTCAATTCACGTATATTGATCACCACTACAATTCTAAGGCTTTTTATATTAAATATTTGGTAGATGATGACCTCTTCAATTCACGGGTTGTTTAAAAAACAGAAACAACATGGGTGGGGAGTGGAACCCACACACGGCAACAAATGTTCTAATATTCATATGATATATATATATATATATATATATATATATATATATATTTTTGTGATTGAAAATTGAAATGGATACCTTGTACAGTTGCAGTTTCCCTTTTCCTTGCGGCCAGTAAAATTAAATTAAATTTGTTTTTTAATTATAAAAAATAAATAATGACGTGGTGAAATGCTGGCAGGCAAAATTTCCAAGTAAGTGGGACCCTTTACATCCTTATCTACATCCTTTATGTTCCAATTGTCAATCTTTTTAGATTTCGTGATTCGGACTTATTCATTAATCGTCAATATTTTATATACGAATTATTTAGTTTCTTTGCAAAAAAAAAACAAATAATATTTTACCTTTTAGAAAACATCTTTTTTGCAGAATTTTTTTAAGAAAGTATTTATTTCACAACAATATATGATTTTGAAAAATTTAATAGTCTATACTCTACAATTTTTAGAAAACTAATTGAGTCGTGTGAATAAACTGTAAAATATAATTTCTATGGAACTTTATTAGGTTTGGTGACTGATTTTTTTTCTTCCTCTCATGTACAATCTGCAAGATTCGAAGACATTTACGGTAACTATAAAGAATTTAGTTTGTTAAAAAAAACTATAAAGAATTTAAGATGAAAGTTTTATAAATTTTAAATATAAAGGCTGATAGTTAAAAACTACAGAACGGAACCATTACAATCTAACAAAAACATTTTATAATTTATTCCAATGATCACACATCATTTTGAGGAATTATATTTGTAGCTAAATCAATCATTTGAATAAACTATAAAAAAATAATTTCTATCGAAATTTAGATGGTTCAATGATTAACTTTTTTCTCATATATAATCGGGAGGATCCGAACATATTTAGCGTGATTTGAATTTTTTAAGATAAATTCGAAAGTATAAAGTTTATTCTATTAAAACTATAGAACCGAACCGTTATAGAATATTTAAATCATCGTCAGTTAACGCATAAGTATAAAAATAATATAATATATACGATCATATGTTTATGTGCACATTAAGCAGACGTTCGCATTTTATATGCTTTTAACGAAAAAATAGTAATTACAATAAGATAATCACGTTTTTATCATTATTTTTATATCTTTGACAACAAATGCATAATTACACAATATTAAAATTATTCAGTGGCTCTCGTTTGTTAACCCGCGTGATTCGTGAAATGTTTTCCACGTTGACATTTGTGCGTATCTTTGTTTTATAAATAATTCTGACTTTATCCATTTGGAGCAGCCACATGTATTCCAGATGACGTGTCAGAGAACCTTTTTGACCACGAGATGCTAGATTTTTGGATAAGCTTAGGAAAATCTTTGTTCTCGGTCCACGTGGCATCCTCAGCGTTCCACAAGACTTTTCGTGGTGTGTGGCACTGCCACGTGTCAGACAATAGGCGCGTGCCACCGGACGAGGAAACAAAGAGGACATCACTTTTGCTCTCTCTAAGCGACTTCTCCGGAATTTAGATTAGCAATCTTGTTTGGTTTTCTTTTCCATTGTTATGGATAAGGTTAATGTCGCTTTTCGATTATTATACTTTTCTTTTGGATTTCGTTGTCTCGTTCTTATAGAAAATCAGCAATAAAATCTTTCAATTCAAATCGCATCATCCAAAATCTTAAAAATTGTGTTTTTTTTTGTTAAAGTAAAATTATGCTACACCTTCTCTCTAAATTTAATTTTTCAATTGATAAACTACATAAAATTTTGAGTCACTATTTCCACGAAATAGAATCCCCCTGTATTTATTAAAATATTATTCATATTCACTTGCTAAAACCACTGCTACACACCAATATTTTTACAAAGGAAAAAAAATAGACCGATCTTATAAGATAATATATTGAATAAGATAATACTTGAATAAGGTCCAAAGATTAATGTAAAATATTATGTCATATAGATACAAACTTTTTTTTGTGGTAGTGGGATAGAGATAAGACACAATTATGTACAAACACAAACTCTATTAGATGTATCAACTAAAATTTTCTTATAACCGAATATCCTACATCAAAATTCATACTAATCTCGAGGTTAGAGACTAATTATTATTCTCTCTTAAAATTTGATATTCGAATTCAAGATAGAATAGACATTTTGTACCTATTTCATCGGTTGAAATATCAAAGTTTGGATTAATTTTGTGAAAATTGGTTTTTGTGTAAATGATGCCCTTTATTTGTATATGAAATTTCTTGACATTTGTTCCAATACACATCAACATTTGTCTATGAATTTTTTTTTTCAGTTAGTACAAGATCAACTATTTATAGTTTATAATGAATTCAATTGTTTTCTTAGCAGATTCAAAACCAAATTTGGATATAGTGATCATATTTGTAATATATATTCAAAAGCATAACATGTGGTTCAAGGAGTGATATGATATATGACCTGTATCGTGATTTCCCCACTCTCTTCACAATGCTAATTGATTTCTTCAACATGACTCTCCTTGATGATAAATTTGCTACACTTGTGCCACCACCTCATCATCTAGCTTCATCTTAACCGAGTATTATTCGGTTAGATTCGGGTCGATTTCAGTTAGGAACCGAACTGCTCACCCCTAATGATAAGTACTAAACCTCACATTACATCTTATACAGAGAGATCCAATGGCACGAAACAAGAGAATCAAAAGGGACATGAAAAGACAAAACATGGAAGATTATATTAACGGAGAAATCTCAGGCAAGAGCGCTGACCGAGTTTATGGAAACGGCATCACAGGTTAATCCCAAAAAGCATATGAAACCTTTCGTCACGTAATAATCAGACAAACCATTGAGAGACCACCAAAACCAAGGAAATAGCAAACCAATGAATCAAAAAAGATCCTAAGCGGTACCCTTCCCCTTCTTCTTCTGGATCTTCTTCATGTAGAACTCCAGCTCTTTACCCTCCAAAATGTATCTGCAGAGGCCGTCAAACGATGTTAAAAGAATTTGTCAAACCACACGAACGAGGAAAATTGGGCGAAACAGGCAAAATAAGTATTTACCCATCTGCCCGACCGCACTGGCCAGGCCTTGAAGAGATACAAGCCAGTAGACGACCACTTGCGAATTGGTCCTCAATATGCGGGTCAAGATTGCGGTTCTGTTGTCGTTTCTCCAGCTTTCTAAGTACATGGTTGCTTTTCTTTGTCTCCTCGAGAGCAGCAGTGTCTTCACCTTCCTACAGTAAATCCAAAGCCAAAACGGCAAACTCATTACATGTGTGTATCATAAACCAGAGACCCAGACAAGGATTTGACAAAATACATATGCAACACAATTACAAACAAATGCAGAAAGGCAACTAGTGTAATCCAATTCTTCAGGTCATGGAACCTGAATATTTTATATCAAAACTATCATTGCATTTCCATAAACTTGTCTGTATTCATATTGTTAAGGCAATGAATGTACAATACAGAAAGCAAAACAGATCAAAACATTGTAATACTAAACAAGAACCGGTCTCACCTCTCCTTCTTTCTTGCCGGCAGTAGCTGCGGTCTTCTTCTTGCGGCCAACCTCAACACCGTAGTGCTGGAGATACCACTGCTTGAAGGGTGCAGCATCGACTTGAACGATAGCACTCTTTACAAGAGTCTTGGTACGGACAAGCTCGTTGTTCGATGAGTTGTAGACGACATCGAGGATCCTGGTCTTGCGGGTAACAGCCTCACTTCCCCAAGAGTAATTCCCGGTGTCAAGCCTCAAAGCACGCCACTTGACATTCCCTCCACGAACCCTAACCCTCCTCACAGTAGATTAATATCAGAATCGAGAGTCAACCATGTGATTTAGATTATATATTTATTCTTCAAACTTGAGGTTCGAACTCATTTTTTTTAATAATCATGTTGCTTAAGATTTGTCTAAGATGAACATATACAAGTGTTCTATTCATATATTGATAAAAAAAAATATTAGGAGGTTGATTGGGTATTCGACCCAATTAATCTTTAAATGTGTAACCAACTGGCAACCGTTATTAGAGATAAATTTCTTATTTATCTAATCACTCTTCGTTTAGATTTGAACCAAGGTAAAAACATGTTTTGTCTCTTACCACCAAAGCTTGGTTTGATAAAAAGAGAGTTGCCCATTCAAGAGACATTTGGTGCATATATGAGAGAAATTGAAGAACATTCAGGACATGCTGCGTATTCGGAAGAGATATTTATTACATGACCCAATTGCTTGAAATCCGAAACTAATCATACAAAAGTAGTTCTTCTATCACCAAATTCAATTACCATGAGAACTCAAGAACAACCGTACATTTCTACACAAGAATCTGACCAATCAGAGAAATCACCGATACTTCAATATCATCAATAACACCAAAATCCGAACGACGTTAATACTATCTCAGTTTCATGATCCCGTGCCAGCTATGGTGCTGATTGTAGCAAGGGAATTCGAACAAGAAAACCCAAAAACAAAAAGAGAACAGAACCAAAGGCAGACCACAAAACACTCACTTTCGCTTCTTCCTCCATTGCTTCTGCTTCCCACCAGTTGCACGCCTCTTGTGAATCGAATCACGCGAGATACCTACAAAAGAACACGATTCAACCTTAGATTCGACTAAAAACAAGAACTGAAGGATATAATTCAGAAGGGAAGCAGAAACGGAAATGAAATCCGGTGAATCTACCCATCGCGGCGTCGGAAGAGTTCTAGGGTTTCTCTCTCCCTTGAGACGCCGAGTTTCCCCTGCTAGAGACGGCGCGAAGTTTTCAGGAGTGTTTAAAAGGAAAACCCTAGTAGTTTTAGACCAAGAAATGTTACCCTTCGAAGAGTTCAGGCCCAAAACTTTGATGGAATTGAAGCAGGAGTTCGATTTTCGGTTTCTTGAAATTGATTTCGATTCGAAAAATATAATATTTTTTTATTCGAATCGCTCTAAAAATTTTAAACGGTTTTAATTTTTTAAAATTGAACTGATTCAAATTGAATTGTAAAAAATCCAAAAAATCTAAATTTTTTAATAAAAACTGAAATAAAAAATGAATCGAACCAAATATAATTTAATAATCGATTGGTATGTATTTTTATAAAATCAAATTGAATCATTCTGAATCCGAGCTCAAACTGGATATTGAAATATATATATATATATTATGTTTTAAATTGATTTATTTACAATTGGTGTTTCTTCAATTTCATCGTTTAGTTTAGATATTTGTATCTATTTTTATTGGCATGATTAACTAACCGTATTTATATTTATTCTTTACCATAAAAGTATTGAACAAAATGAAATATCTCCTACAAACCTATCAAATTTATGAAATTTTCTTAGAGGCATGCGGAGATAGTTTCGTCCGTTACAGGAACGATTCAAGACTTGATCAATGGGAGAGTCAACAATTATCCATCAAACTCCAAAGTCAACGCATAGCCTTCCGACCCCACTTAACTATAATATTCGTCATATTCCTATTATACACTATAAACAATCATTATCAAATTCGAATCTGATCCGCCTAACGCGGGGGACTTTTAGAAATTTTTCTTCTTCTAAATGTTAATATGTTAGTATGATCAAATCTAATATTAAATGTCCAAACGATTTTTGGTGGAAATTAATTCCTATTTTCTCTTAATTTAATGTTCAGGTAAAATAGAGAAAAACATATGATTATTTTTGTTGTAAATACAAGCACACAAGAAATCATATGATCAAATGCTAACGAATAAATGTGAAATTGTGAGAAATCTCAAGACACACTTCCCAACAAAATGAAGTAATAATATTTAGTTAAAGCAAAATTTCTAAAAAAATCTGAAGGTAAATTTCATATATTTTTTAAACAGTTTATTTTTAATTTATATGGATAAGTTACTCATTTTATTTTTACTACTGAAAGAATACATATACTTTCTGTGTTTATGAATATTGTTTAAAAATGCATACAAGAGTTGCTTAACTTGGACTAATTATAGAAAGGAAAATAAAAATCAAAAGCTCACTCATCCTAAACATTGCCAAAAAATTGTTCAATCTAAAAAAAGAGATTATAAAATGTTGACATTTATTAAAAATTACATACGAAATTAGGAATTTCATCGTTGCATATATTAGTATATTAATCAACATCGATTTATTCACAAAATCTTGCAAAAGAATGTACAGATTATATCAAATTTTCGCTTAAATAAAGGGCGAGGATCCGTTCCAAAAGTTTTGAATATAAGAAGTGATTAAGTTCAGAAATAAACCCATTGATATATAAAAGCGGGTGTTCACATTAGCACGTAGATTCGTTCATTAAAAGATTCTCCAAGACAACGTCGTTATGATCTCCTAAGTTGCTTTTTTTTTTTTCCGGGGATTATGGACAAAGGTCCAGATTAATATCAGAATCGAGAGTCAACCATGTGATTTAGATTATATATTTATTCTTCAAACTTGAGGTTCGAACTCATTTTTTTTAATAATCATGTTGCTTAAGATTTGTCTAAGATGAACATATACAAGTGTTCTATTCATATATTGATAAAAAAAAATATTAGGAGGTTGATTGGGTATTCGACCCAATTAATCTTTAAATGTGTAACCAACTGGCAACCGTTATTAGAGATAAATTTCTTATTTATCTAATCACTCTTCGTTTAGATTTGAACCAAGGTAAAAACATGTTTTGTCTCTTACCACCAAAGCTTGGTTTGATAAAAAGAGAGTTGCCCATTCAAGAGACATTTGGTGCATATATGAGAGAAATTGAAGAACATTCAGGACATGCTGCGTATATGTCAGTGTTTCGGTCTATTGTCACCATGTCTGAGGAGAAACCAGCGGGTCAGCAGCATCCTGTATCGTGGGAGATAGAGTTGTGAAGGAGACGGCTGGAGCAGAAACGGTAACGCTCCAAGAATCGCATTCATTGATCTCCGTGGATTCATCTTCTTCTTCTTCTTCTTTAATGTCTTCTTGAATATGAACCTCTGAATCTTCAGGAGATGAACGGATCCTTTCGAGCTCGTGAGACACTTCTCTCATGTTTGGTCGCTTCTTCCCTTTTAGGTTAAGACACCTTCTTGCAAGCTTTGCTGCCGCCATCACTTGCTCAAGCTTGGATTCCTCCTTGATCCGAGCATCAACTATGTCAAAGAGTCTGTTGTCTTTCATGGCCTCCCCGAAATAAGCTGCCAATCCCCTGCTCTCGTTTCGCATATGGGAGACCGGTTTTTCGCCCGTTATCAGCTCCACCAGGACAACCCCGAAACTGTAGACATCACTCTTGTCCGTGAATTGGCTCGACTGAAAATACTCTGGATCAAAATATCCAAATGTACCCGCGACTAGGGTCGTCAAATGAGTTTTATCTAAGGTTACCGATCTCGAAGTTCCGAAATCGGAAACCTTGGCTCGGTATTTCTCGTCCAATAGTATGTTGGTTGACTTTATATCTCTGTGATATATCGGGAATGATGCGTCCGAGTGCAAGTACGCAAGAGCTCCTCCGATCTCTATTGCAACACGAAGGCGTTCTTCCCAAGTGAGCGTGTACTCGTCGGATTGATCATGAAGATGCTTGAAGAGGTCTCCGTTGGGAATGAACTCGTAAACAAGAACAGGAACATCCGTCTCAAGGCAACACCCCAAGAGCTTCACGACGTTCCTGTGGTTAATCTGCGAGAGAAGGACAACCTCGTTGATGAACTCTTCCAGTTTGTCTTTGTCCACAGCTGTAGACCTTTTGACGGCCACGATTCTTCCGTCCACGAGCATTCCCTTGTAGACAGTGCCTTGGCCTCCCTGCCCGAGCACCCTGTCTTTGTTGAAGTTATCTGTTGCTTTCTCCAACTCTCTTGTGCTGAACAACGTTGTGGTCTTGACGGCGTTTCCTTCCGTCGTGGTTAATTGCTGCTGCAACAATAACCCTCCGTTACGCTTGAAGAACTTCTTCTTACGTATTATCCTTCTTTGCCTTTTGATAAATTTGTACAAACCCCATATTCCAATGATCGAGAATAGCAGGCCGAGCGCCAAGACAATCCCTGCACAAACCAAGGACAGCCTAAATCATACTTCTTATTGATACAAGATCCTACGTTGTGATCATACCGACGACGAAATAGTTTTGGATAGTGCAGAATTTTTCATACGGTTCGAGCGAAAGTTACCTTGAACCACCGGCTTCGATTTCTTGGCCTCGCACCTGAATGTTCCGGGTTCATTCACACAAGTCTGTTGTCCACACGTGTTCCGCCCTTTGTCTTCTTGGCATTCGTCTATGTCTGCACCGCGAAACTATGAGTCTGTAAGTAACGGTGACCGATCAGATCAGACGTGAGGAAGAGACCATCACTGCTTACCGACGCATCCGCTTGGAAGATAAGGGTTGCCCCTGAAGCCATTGTTGTTGCAGTAGCAGTTCCTATAGCTGAACCCGAAAGAGTTGCCGTACTCGCAAATGCAACCTACTGTGAAGTTGTAAAATCCAACTTCAGTCAAATTTATGCAACCCACAGGGCCTGGGAAGCGAGGGTCGGAGTTGTCAAAGTACCATCCTAACTCCACCACTGAGTTTCCGTTCGAATGTATCTGTTCTGGTTCGGTCACGTTCGAAGGAGAATACGTCTCGTTCGTCAAGAACGCAACTCTGCACCCTCCTCCTCCCCCTCCTCGTGTTTGGTTACCATCAATGCTCTCGATTCTTGCACCAATCACTTGAGGAGATTCAACAGGCATCTTTGCCTGACAACATGTGTAACCATTGCAGACCTTGTTCCGAGCTTCTTGTCCGTTTCTTTCGTCGCAAGTAGTCTCGCATCCTGCCACCTGTGACCCGATATTCGTCATCAACGCCCTGGTGTTGCAGCCAACAGCTACGAGGCGATTGGTGCCGGTCAAGAAAAAGGGGCTACCCGTCACGTTGAAAGGCGGATCGGGTCGTTGAGTACTGGAGCATCCCGATGAAATCACCGGACTTTTGATATGAACTAGGCCATAGGAGCTAAAGAGATCGTCACGAAGCGAGATCTTCACGACTTCGCTGTTGATTCTTGGAAGGAACGGAACAGGAGCAGGAAGCCTGTTGTCGGAGGAGCTGGAACTGTTGTTGCAGACAACCTTGTACCAGTCGTTGAGGTAACAATCTTTCTCTCCGATTCCGAATGGGAAAGGGATCGAAAGCCCTCCACATTCCCTTCTGCAAGAACTCGGATCCGAGCGATCTGGAGATGTTGCTGCTGAGGAGCCATTGATGAACAGAGAGAAGAATGCAATGCATGCGAAGCATCTCTCTCTGCTCATTGCTCTTTGTTTTTTTTTTTTTGTGTCTTTTGGATTTCTGAATCTGTTATAGGGAGGCGTGATATCAGAAGCCGCCTCCTTGGACACAGCTATGAGCTGTGGGAATGGGAGTTTCCGTGGATGACTGATTTTTATTTTTTATTTTTTTTTGGGAATTCAGTCAAGTTTTCTTTTGTTTGGTCGTCGGAATCAGACAAGTTTAGGTGCGTGACTGAAGCCTAAAGAATTAAACAAACAAAAAGTCAACGGTTGGAGGGTGGTTGTGAACTCAAATAATTGCCACATGAGATCTCATTATGATATTTAAACTGACTTTTCGCCACCACCCCCTTCTTCTAGTGAACGATTCAGTTGCATGAAATAAAACCAAATGAAAATTTAAGTGTATAATTGAATTCAATCTTAAAGTCGGTTTTAAACAAAAAATAGAACAAACTAAGTTTTATAAAACGAAAAACTATAAAATAACTAAACCAAAATAGATTGACGGCAACATGCATATTATTTATAAGTAATATTGATCTTAAGAGTAAAATATAATATATAAATATTGAGTACATATAATCAATTAGTATTCATTACATGCAATCCTAAATTTATCATATGATAGTGTACGTGCTGATGCATCTTAACCAATCAGACATCCTTTCACAATTCCGATAAGTCAAACTTCTTAAAAAAAAGGACTGCCAATTGGATTAAAAAAAAATTGTAAGATCTGAATATTTTTTTTTATAACCAAGATAGTTCTCCGGTTATTCGGTCCGACTAAATCTATCTACGTCCGGGACCAACCTTTATATATAGACCATTTTAGTCCAGAAATTACATCCTTCTCCACCAGTCAAATCGAATCAAAGACTTTGAGGATGACTTTATTACCTCAAAAGTTCGGTGTAAGATGTGAATATTGTATTACTCGAAAAAAGATGTTTTCATGCAAAAGTCAGGCTCAGCAACCGTGTGAAATTTTATGAATAAAGTAACGAACTTAAGCTTAGAAATGAGAAATTTGTGGTTTCGGATGGACAATGAAAATGAGAATAAAATATTGTAAGAGAGTTAATCGTATTATTATTATTTTTTTTGATAACCGGGTCATCCCAGATCCAAAGGGTCCAGACTAATCCCGACCCAAATGGCTCATATGACACACATATATACAACAACAAGGTGAATAAAGACAAAAAAAAAAGAAGAAGCAAAGTTATAAGAGGAAAGAAAGCCAATAGTAAAAAAAAAGGAGATAAAATAGAAACAAAAGGATAAATGGAAATAAAGACCAAACATGACCAAAGTCATGTACGAACCGACCAAGAATTCCATGATGGCAAATTTTTTTATTTTTATTTTTCCATTTGGGTTATTTGAAATAAATGAATTGAGTTAAATTGGCTAATCCAAACCCAATCCAATAAAAATTATATTTGGATTTGTTATTTGGGTTATTTGAATTAAACCCTACGAGTTAAATAGATAAACTCATTAAACCCATTAAACTCATTTGTACTATAATTACAAATCTTAATTACATAATATTTCTCATTATATTAATAAAATCAAATGTCCAAGATTTATTCAAAAATTAAAAATCGAATACGAATAATATATAAAATAATCAAAAATCTAAAAAAATCTTTAAAATGAGAATTTTAAATTAAAAAATCGAAATCGAATCGAATTTGAATCTAAATGAATCGGATTTGGATATGAATTGATCCAATGGAAACGAATCGAATGTAAATCGATCCGAATTGATGAATTGACAAACGGATCGATCGATCTAAATCGATTAATTGACTAACGGATTGGTTGATCCAAATCGAATTTGATTCAAATAAATTGGTCTGAATCAAAACGAATCGAATGTGAACCGAAAAAAATCGGTACGAATCGAATGACAATCACAATATTTGGATAAATAAAATTTTATAAATAGTTATTGTGATTTAAAAGGTTTTGACAAATACCACTAAATTATTTGAATATTTTTAATAAATAGTTATTGTGATTTAAAAGGTTTTGACAAATACCACTAAATTATTTGAATACTTTTTATTTCTAAAAGATAAATAAATTGAAAAATATAAACTTATTTTATTTTAATAATTTTGATTTATTTTTTATAACATGATTTTAATTTAACTAATTTTTTTATAAAATACCATTGACATGATTTTAATGTTATTTAATCTTACCTATATTTAACTTTCTAGACTTACGACCAATAATTGTAAAACCTACAAATCAACAAAATTCTGAATGATCATGTCATGTTACATGGTATGTCGTGGTCTCGTACAATATTATTTATGTATAAGATTTTTTCTTTATATTGGTATCTCGTAGTCTCGTGCAATAACAATTTTTTTTATTGATAATGTAATGATTATTTTTTATAATTATTTTTTTTATAATTTATAAATTTATTATATCTTTGGCTCCACTACATATTCCAAAAGATTGGAAAAACTTACGTAAATATCTTTTTCTAAGTGACTAGTCCAACCGGGTTGATCAGAAAAAAGTTTTACTCTTTATATAATTTTATCCTAAAGGTACACGTGTATTATTCCTTAAAAAATTACCAGACAAGATGAAGACCTAATTAAAAACAAATGCAGAGGAAGACACAAGTTGGGGAATGATGATTATAGACCCTATTTTTTCTCTTGGAAGACTTGGCAACTGATAAAAAACGCGCAGCACATTGTACCTTGGCATTCCTCGTTATGCTATATTTCATTGGCAGATCATGATGGAACGGTTGCCAACCAAGGATCGGCTACTCCGTTGGGGCGTTACAACGGATACTCAGTGCAGGTTATGTGACATAGCAGATGAATCCCATCACCATTTATTCTTCGAGTTTAATTATGTCTCTGCCCTTTGGCGCCATTTTGGTGAGGTATGCTGGCCGAATCCGACGAATGATACCTCAAGAGGTAGAAGATACTTAGGCAAGCTTGTGATTCAAACCTCCATATACGAAATATGAAGGGAACAAAATCACAAGATCTTTCGATGAAGGTTCCGGTCCATCGAGCATATTCGGTGGAAAGTCGACGACACGATGCGAAATATCCTTTTCTCCTCCAAGTGCAAGCCCTCTCCCCAAGGTTACCCACTTCTTGCATATTGGTACCACCTGACACAATACTCTCGGTTTACTTTTTACCACTTGCTAATGAGTTCAATCTCTTGTATACAGTTTGGAACTGGTTGTAATTTCTATTTTTGATCGATACAAATAACCGTTACCGCAAAAAAAAAGTTTAGATAATTCACAAATACACAAAATGGATTATTGGAATTTATGTAAAGTCGCTTCGATTCCTAATAATCCGTGGCAGTTGTGCTCGCCTAGTTCGCCTGAAATGGTACTTTCGAAACTGAAACATGCAAAACAAAATATTAAATATTAAAACATAAAGAGCAAATCAAATGACTAAATAAACATTTATAATTTTCTGAATATTCATTGTTATTTTGAAAAACACGAACAAAAAGTGTATTTAAAAAAGAATGTCAGGAAAAAATAACAGAAATATCAAAAACCAAAATTTGAATAAGAATAAAGACCAGTATAATAAAAGGACGATATAAAAAAAGAGTTAAAACAGTGACAAGGGCGAAGAGGTAAATTTAAATGTGAATAAGGAGAAAGAGACCTACTTATACATATATAACTCAGACACGGGAAACGCAAAGGATGCCAATAGATGCTCCTCAACTCCGGCAGATCCGACAGCAGGAGAAATTCTAGTTTCTCGAAAGGAATGGCATGACCTGCCTCCTCTGCTTTCTCTTTCTTCACGATTTCCTCCATATTCTCGCACCCAGACACCGTTAACAAAACAAGATTGGGAGCATTCATCATCAACCGTGTCAAATCTCTCGCACCCCTGCAGCTGAATATCTTCAACTGGCGTAGATTTAGGAAGAGTTGACGTGAAGGTTGGCGTCGAGCCAAAACCGTCGCCCTTTTCCTGGTTCCCTTCTCTCTCCCTCTGTTCATCTCCCTAGTAACGCACTCTTGTACCAATACGTTCAATATCTAATTTCGTAATACAGTTTGTCAGCCTCCGGTCGCTTAGAAGTCGTTCTGCGGCGGTATAAACACACTTACTTATGGTTAAAACTTGTAGATCTCCCAATTCTTGCAACTCCTTCACTACGTCCACGTCTATTATAACTCCGGACCCGAACATTCTCAGTATTTTCAAACTCGACAAACATGATATTCCAAGAATAGTCTCGAGCTCGTATGCGCTTTCCACATTCAGGTGAATTAGTTTTTCTACCTTTTGAATACCGACCGACAGTCGCTTTTTCTTTGTTCCCGATAAATTGAGATATCGCAACGACACCAACTCTGATATTTCCTCTGGCAATTCATTGAGATTTTTGTTCCTCGACAGATCCAAAACGAGCAGCCTCGACATACACATAAAGAAGTCGCCTGATAGTTTTACAAACTCGTTATCTTGGAGGAGCAATGTTTCCAGCTCGAAACACTGAGGACTGTCCGTCGATATCTCATCGATTTCATTTTGCATCAATGACACCCATCTCACATCGCTCCAATTCTTGACCTTCGGAATTTGATGTAATTTGAACCCCGCTTGCACGACAAAATATTCCGTTTGCTTTCCCAAATCAGACGCCACCCACAATGCCATTTCACGAGTCACGTCATGCATTTTCACCCATTCTATGTTATCATCCATCAACAGACACGAACAGATGAGGGTGTTGATTACTTCGTAACACTTGTTCATAGCCTTTTCCACGTCTTCGTTTTCATCTATAATTCCCTCACCTATCCGGTAATAAGCCAACTCTTCTTTACTTATTTCATAATCTTCTGGAAACAAAGCACAGTATTGAAAACACAACTTGATCTGTTCATCCCTTAAATTGTCGTAGCTATACTTTTAAAATCGGAAGAATCTCGTCTTCCATACCCGAAAACTCGATGGCCGAGGAAGTCAACGTGTCGATTGCAAGACGCCACTCTTGGACCGTCCTTTTGCACGACATGGTCTCGCCGATAACGTTGAGAGCTAGGGGGAGACCCCGACATTTTCTAAAAGTTATCTGAGCTAGTTCTGGAATCTGTGGATGACTAAGCGTGATTTCCCCGACCTTCTTTTTGAATAGGTCCCATGCGTCATCCGACGACAGACATTCGACCTCTATCTCGGGATTGGCCCCCATGCGCCCGCACACTTCCTTAGAACGAGTGGTGAATACTACTTTGCATCCATTTTCTCTTGTTGGAGACGGGACTCCGATCTCTGTTAAATCCACTTTGCTCCAAATGTCGTCCAACAACAATACAAATCTCTTTCTCGTTAGGACATTGTATATGTCAGCGGCCTTGTCCTGTGCTTTTTTATGTTTCCAACCGTCGCTGTTAAACAGTTGTTAAACCCTAGTTTCTCCGCAATCTCTTCTTGGATGCTATGCACTTGAACGACGCTAGACACCACGACCCAAATGACAATATCAAACTTACATGTTTCCTCATGGAGTTTATTGTTGATCTGCTTGAGAAGAGTGGTTTTGCCGACTCCGCCCATGCCGTATAGACCAAGGGTTCCGACTCCGTCGTCCATCAGATGTCCCCATGCATTCTCGAGCAGAACTTCTTGACCAGTTGGCTGCTGGATAGGTCTCAGTGCCACCGCACGTGTGGGAGCGTTCCCGATCACAACTTCGAAAACTCCTTTAGATTTATGATCTTTAACCTTCTCGAGCATTTTCGATACCCTTTTACCATAACGATAACCCAATATGAAACGTTTGGAACAATATCCACAAAGACACAACCTTTGAACTTGATTGGCTTTAGCGGCGAGCAGAACATCGACTTGTTCCTCAATGGCTTCGGCTCCGGAAATCCAGAACTGGACTTCAACAAGGCGTTGTCGGCCTCCGTACTCCTCGCTGGCAACCCTTCTCGACAAATCGTTCCTCTTGGACCGGAGCTCTTCCTTAGCGGTCTGTAGAGCATCGATATTTTTTTCGAGGCTGCGGAGATAATTTCCGTCGCCGCAGAGGCGGTTAGAGGCATGATTCAAGACTTGATCTAAGGATATTGATACAGAGAAACACCCTCCCATCGTCCACAAGAATGATTTAGAGAGCTTCTTTGATATGAACGGTGAGGAGAAAATAAGCGACGATGGGTCAATGAAAGTCGCCGAATACGAGTGCTCAATTATTCAACAATGACTTCCTACTTGCGCCGGGAATGGGCCCCTTCTTATATATATATTATATATATTTATAGAGAGACATATTTATTACATTAAGGGTAAAGAGTTAATTTTTTGGTTTGGATAATCAATTCAAATTCGTTTTCTAACACCAATGGTTTGCTTCATATATCTTAAATTGATCACAATCAAATTAATGAACTAATGAAATTTCAAATTATATATATCATTTTTGCTTATATGTCATATATGTACACATATTAAGCTTTTACAATTATTTGTACATTTTCTAATTAGTACTATTGTTTAATATATAATTATGTATTTCTTTATATCTATTCTGAAGTGGATATCGAACCTTCACGGTTCTCTCCAACGCTCGTACGTGTGAGGAAGAAGAAGACAGTCGGAGTTTTAACGAGTTCGATTATCGAGCGGAGCTCGGGCCTACATCTCGGCCAGACGGTGCCGGCGAATCCACTAGAGAGAACGGAAACAACCGAGAGAACAAGAGACGACGATGCTCCACAACTTGGAGACTCGCCGAATAAAGAACCAGTCCGAAGACAACCAAGAAAGGAGAGTAACACAACACCTTACCGACCTCGGCTCACTTACCTTAAGTCGCCGTCGAGTCCGAGCTCCACCAAACGCCGGGAAAGCTCCACCGCGGTCGCGGTCTCCTTCTTTCTCCGGTCTCTCTCTCTCGAACCTTCTCACCTCGAGCCACATTAGGGTTTCATTAGGGTTTCATTAACCCTTAGTTCAAAACGCTGCGTATTGGCCAAATGGGCCGAGTTCTTTTTCCGCCAAACGGGCCGCTGGGCCGAGCGGGCCCAACAATCTCCACCTTGGTGGAGAAAGGAACGAGCAAAGAAATAATAACAAAAAAAACACTAGTGGAATTCTCTGTTTCCATCACCGATCGACTTTCTTCGATCCCTCGACTTTCGTCGATCCCTCGACTTTCGTCGGAATTTAAATGCAAACTTACCCGACTTACCTCGCTTACCTGATGTCCCGGAGTTAGTCACATGTCGCCCTTAATCTGATGAAGCTCCCGTCGATGACTCCTCAAGGCCTTGTCGCCTTATCCGCCACCGATCAGCTTATCCAAACCTGAAACACTTGGTAAACGTGTTAGAACGTTCACCCCGATAAAACCCGAACCGAAGTTCGAACATGCGTTGTCTGACCGACAAACGCTACCTTTGGTTGTATGACTCCCTAGACCGTCTAACTAACCCTCCTAGTAAAGTCCAAGACTATACCCGCTAGCTAACCCGAGGATTATACCCGACGTCTACCCGTCTCCTAAGTCTATCCCGACTTTCCCCGAGACTAACCTGAGTCATACTACCGAAACCCGCTAGATACCTAGCCCGGATCCCCGTGAAGTCTACACTACCTGTAGGTATAAGACTTCTACTCTCGGACCCTAACCTGTCAACTAAGATTGTCCCACGATTTTGTCCGTGAAGACGCTTCTAGTCCTCTACGATGCTCCACCGAGAATGAGACACGTGAGTGCACGTGCTCCACCTCGAGAGGGAGTGTCCTAGTGCCAACCTACACCGACTCTACCCGGTGAATCCCGACACCTCCCAGCTCACATCATCTCATGAGCATCCTACCCGAGGAAGCTCCACCTAAATGTGGAGACCTCACCTCCTGAGCTACCACCGAGAACCGAAGCAACTTCGGTTACTCCTCCGAGGTCAACACGTCCTTCTACCTCGGACTCTCCCTACCTCGTCATCCGGGACCTACAACACCTTCTTGTAGTGTCCCTACCTACCCGCAGAACAACTCACTCCACCTGGTCCTTGGCCTTCTCCTGCACCCGATTTCTCGGGTTTGCCTGAGACCCCTAGTCCTTCCACCATACCCCCTTTAGGGGTATACCGAGCTAGAACATCTAACTCCATCATCCTAAGACGATAAAACCCGAGTCTAAAACCGACTCTACCCGGAAGTGACTTACCCGACCCTAGGAGTGATGTAACATGACACGAGGGATGAGACCGAACCCTAGAAGACTTAACTTTAGGTATGTTTCTACCTAGCCGTGCTTAACACGCTAATCCTAGTCTATCGGTCCTAAGCCTAGGTACATCTCTACCTACTTAGACCTACAAGACCTAGAGAACACAACCTGACTGGACTTAACCTAGGCACTCTACCTAAACCCGATCTAACGGACTTTAAACCAAGTCTAACCGGACAACACCCTAGGTACATCTTACCTAAACGGATCTAATACACTCTAGACCTGACCTGATTGGACTTACCACAAGGTATATTTCTACCTAATCGACCTCTTAGACTCTCGCACAAACCTGATTTGACTTACCCTATGCATAATTTTACCTAACCGGCCTATTAGACTCAAAACACAACCTACCTTAAGACCTGATTACGTCTAACCAGATCTAACTTAAGGCTAATCGGACCTGATTACGTCTAATCAGACCTATAACACCGAGTCTACATGGCCCCCAACAAAGTCCTAACCAGTTCTACGATCCCAAGTCTACCTGGTCCCTCACAAAGTCCTAATCAGACCTACCCAAGTGCTATCTAGACCCTAACAGCCCTAGTTAGACAACCAAAAGCCCAAACTAGACCGGAAAACCTAATCAGACCTAAGCCAACCCTAATTGACCTAATCAACCCCTGATTAGTTACCCTAAGTCCTAGTCATTCACTTAAAAGTCCTAATCATCAAACCTAAGCCAACCCTATTGACTTACCAACCCCTGATTAGACTTTTAGTATCATAATCAGACCTAAACTAAGCCTAATGAGACCTAATTTCCCTCTGATCAGACCCTATAAACGCCTAAAACCAAAACCTATAGACCTGCTCTGATCTAAATCGACCCCTACAGACTTATACCTAGTGATTCTACACTTATTACCAACCCCTAAACCAACCCGTTTTAGTCAAATCTCAACAAATCAGACCTAACCGGTCAAGATACCGGGCTCTATGACTAAAAACCGGTACTTAGGAGTCCTATCTAGTCCTAAACTAGATAATACCTAAGTCTACAATCAGATTCTAATCTGATCAGACCTAGACAATGTCTTTATAGACATTCTAAACCACTAATCAGACCTAACCAAGCCTATTTTGACTTAATTACCTACTGATCAGACCTAAATTAAACTAGACTAACCCAAATTTGGCTAGACTAGGCCTAAACCAAGACCCAAACAGCCTTTACAGATCTATACCGACCTAAACCAGTGAATTTTAGACCCATACCAGCCTATTCAAGTCTAACCTGACCTCTTACCTAGCTAAGCTTAGTCAAATTCACCTATTCAGACCTATACTGAACAGAAAACCGGAATCTATGACTCACATTAGCTAAACCGAGATCTAAACAGGTCTATTCCTAGTGAATTTTCACTAAACCAAGCCAAATTGAGTACTAATCCAACCTAACAGGGTAAAACCGATCACTACAGACCCTAACATACCCTAAACCAGTCCACTATGTCCTAAACTAGACACCATCAGCCCTAATTTGGACTAACCTAACCCTAAACCAGTTAGTTCTAGTCTTAATTGTACACTCCAGACCCTAAACCGATCTAATCTAGTCCTAAACAACGAATTCAGACCCTAACATGATTAATACCAGTCCTAAACAGATAAACCAGACCTAAATCAGACCTATTTCAGCCTATACCGATCTAGATTTACCTAAACCGAACCCAATTGACCTAAACCTGGATAATTCTAGCCCTAACCGGACAAATCAGACCTAAATCAGACCTATACCAAGTCTAAACCGGCCTACATTGACTTCTTCCGGACTTAATTGACCCAAACAAGTCTGAATTAGTCAGAACCGAACAAATCATACCCTAAATTTGACCTAAACCAGCCTAAACTAGTCTGAATTGACCTAAATGGACCTAGATTGACCTAAACCGGACTCAATTGACCTAAACCGGACCTGGAATGACCTAAACCGGACTCGATTGACCTAAATCGGACCTGGACGTACCTGAACCGGTCTGAACCGGTCCAATTGACCCCAAACCGGACCTGAATCGGTCCGATTGGACCTAAACCGGTCAACTGTTGACCAAATTGGTCAACGGATTGACCGAACCGGAGTGAACCGGTCTGAACCGGCCTGAACCGGGTCTGACCGGCCTGAACCGGCCGGAATCCGGTCTGAACCGATGGAACCGGGCTCAACCCGGTCTGACCGTCGAGAACCGGACATGGATCGAATCGAACCAGGTTTGATTGACCCAAAACACGTTAAACCAAAATCGGATCGATTAAACCGGCCTGAACCGGTTAAATCCGAAACCCTAATTTCGGAAAACCCTAGCCGCCGAGTCAACTCTGAGTCAACCCAGTTGACTCGGTCGTTGACTCACCCGATTCCTCCACTCAAACCTTAACTCGGACGAGTCGGGACCGAGTTTCGCCGGAATCGAGCCTTTCTCTGCCGAGTTCACCGAGTTTCTATGAAACTCGGTCGGTCTCAAAATCGGAGAAAACGCGGAAAAATAATGAAACCGAGTCAGAAAACCTACCCGACTCACCTGGTTCGAATCTGGCTTCACCGAATCTTGATCTCAGACGCTCCACCTCGACGGATCTGGCCACGGAGACTCCGAGACTTTCAGATCTACTCCCACCGTCGCCGATCCGCCTCCGTCTTTGACTGAAACACTTAACGGAGCATCAAATCGTTCACACAGTCGAGATTCGAACTAAGAACCCTAACTTACCTCGCCTTTGCCGGCGATTTCACCTCTTGGATCGGAACCGGAGCTCTGATACTGTAATAACCCGTAAATTCAACTTTGAAACCAAATTTTAGAAAATTAAATATGAGCCATAAAAATGTCTCTAAAATATTAAATTAGATCCTAACAAAGTTGACCCGAAA